ACCGGGGTCGACTTAAGTTTACGTAGATTAATCATTGCCTGATACCGGTGGGCAGTGTCCAGCGGTCCAGTATTGGCAACACTGACCCACCGATAACCACAACTGCCAATGAGTACCACATGACCAATACGGGCACCGGGGTCGACTTAAGTTTACGTAGATTAATCATTGCCATTGCCGTTGTTATTGCTGAGGTTAACGACATTATTATCCCAATCCAACGCTTGTCATACTTGTCCGGACCCTTCGACCCAAATATGAACTCTGGTTTTGATATGATAAACACTCCGATGACCGTAATCACCCCGGTGATTAGCTGCACCACGTTGGGTCGGTCTCGAAGTATTAAATACGCAAATAATGTAACAAATATTGGACATGTGTGTGCGATCGTGACGCTATCTGATAGTGGCATTAGCCGGTATGATATAAACAGGGTGATTAACGAGATGGTGCCATTGATGCATCTCATAAATAGGTTCCATAGGTGTCCCGGTTTCTCGCATATCGGATAACGATTCCATACGGTTATGATAAAGTAGACTATTAATTGAAATATGGATCTAGATTTTTATTTATTAAAAAAAGTTTTATCCAATTGCATATTGTAAAAATTTTTCATATTATTTGTTACGATTGCATATTTATGTTACAGTTTATAAATAGCAATTCCAAGTATTACCTGATAACGAGTATTTCTATTGAATGTAAATCTGTTAACAATTTTACTATAAGCGATGATAACGAAGACATTGTAGCGCCTAATCAATTAAAATATAACTCTCATTTAAAGCACATACGAATTATAAATTGATTACAGAATGAACATGTTATTTATTTAATACATACCAATTAGAGCACATATAATACCAAACGCCGGTATGCGTTCGGGTAGTGATTTTTGCTTAACCATTGATTGACTTTCCATTTCGGTGATTATTGGCCCCGGTACGTTCAACTTTATTGGTGGATTTACTATGGTCATTTTTATAATTTAATAATAATAAGTTATATTGAGTATGATAACGAGTAGTGAATGCAGTCCGCAACAATTTATTAATTATATACATATTTATGTATCATCGTATTTGATAATAATTTGACATTTTTATTCATCTATCAATAGTTTTAAATAATGTAAAGTTCATATGGGTTATTATAACAATACGTCAATGATATAAACTTAATGATATAGTAACCCACGAGACATACAAGTGTACAGTACAGATTATAAGGTCAAGATCAAAATATTATATAAGTAATCTAATTATAATTTATAAATTTCAAATACAGTTTAATTAAATTTAATAATTTCAGGACCACGTTTGTGTGTTATTAATTTCGCGTTACATGGCCAGATAACGTGGTTTTTAAATAAATCAATTAATTTTACTTGGGTTAAAATTTTTAAATTATGTTTATGCAATACAATTTAAATTAAATATGTTGTACACACTTTGTATTACACATTTTGTTGCACGCTTTAACTATAATTTATTTACCAATAATTAGTGTGCATTTTAATAAGTAATTGTAGTTTTATGTTTGACATGTTCTGAATAATTTACTTTAAAAAATTATTTTAAGTAACATTATTTTATTTGATAGATTATACGACTGTATTTTATTTTGGAAATTATTCATTTAATTTAATTGACCGTAAAACACGAGGATAGAAATGTCGTGTGCAGGGATTGTCACGTTGATATGTAATAGTAAATAGTTAGTACTGTATAAGTTTTAAATATAGCGATTTAGTGACAGATTCATATTTGATAGCATTAGTCATGCTATTACTAAAGTATAACTTCACTATACATAAGTGGCCCTATGAGTGGCTCGAGAGTCAATTATTGGTCATGCAAATGTATGTTATATAAGTTAGTGCCATGTATGATGATATTTTATTTAGTCTTTATTTTAACATTAGGACCAAAATCAATAAAAATAATTATTATATTTAGTAATGATATAACAATTGTTTAGTATTTTATCACTGATTTTACATGAATTACATTAGATTTATCAACTTATTTATAAGTTATATTATAATATAGAATTATAGTTATATATTACAGTTTATAATAATTTTTATTTAATAAAATTATTAAAAAGAAACATATATTTAATAAATATTATTTACGTAAATTAAATACATATATTCACACTAATATGAATGCAAAGTACCCTGATGTTTGCATTAATTTGCCCAAAGATCCGGTATATATAATTGAAAAGCCGGTCAGCATATGGAGACGTATACCGGAGCGCATTCCAGCTTTTGGTTTACTATGCGCACTTTTTGGTAATTAATTTTGCATGTTCAAACATTGTTTTAAATGCAATTTTATTAATAGGAGAGACAATGTTTTCATTGGCATCGCTTATCGTTAAGTTATTAACGAATTTGCATTCAATTGAAATACTAGTTTTCAGGTATTTATTTACTTCGCTCTCAATTATATAAGGATCCTCATTTAAATTCCCACAAGGGAGATTTGCGATTACTCTGGAACCTTTAAAGTGATAATATTGAAACTTCACACATACATAGATCAACGTCGGGAAGTTTATTGAGAGTTAAAATTTTTTTAGTCACGTGACTTTTTTGTTTTGAAAATGGAGCATTTGCGAGACCCATAGTTTGTGGCTATTGTGCTTATCATAGGGAGGGGTGGGGTGTGGGGGTTATGTAAGGCAGATGTCAAAGTGTTATAATAACCAAGAACCACTATTATTGAATTACACGTTTTCACATGGCAAGTGGTCAAAGTAAGCTAATTTCCCCATGATAACCTATGGGGATGAAAAATAATTTTATATTTCAATATAATTCATTATATTTTTAAAAACTACATTAAATGCTGATAAGGTTAGTAAAAGAAATTTTTGAAAAATTTCATTCCAAAGACAAAATATCTTAAATTGAAATATTGAGTTTTAGCCAAAAAAAGCTCATATTTCTGATATTTCAATTTAAGATATTTAGTCTTTAGAATGAAATTTTTCAAAAATTTCTTTTACTAACCTTATCAGCATTTAAATAAAATTAAATTATTTTAAAAATTACATTTAACTATTTCAACCCTAAAACAGATGTCTATTCCAATTCATACCATACTTAATCATAACGCTATGGAAAGGGTACCCATTTTTTGGCCTACCGGGTGCTCGCATACAACTAACCCTACGGTGCCTATCGGGCACTCTATGCTCGATATCAATATACATGGCCTACAGACTAATGCCACTCTCAGACGCCACCACTATCTACCTGTCCAGTCCGGCCTTTGTCACCGTATTTGCCTACATCATACTCAAAGAGAAAATTACCACAGTACAAATAGCTACAGGCCTACTCACGCTATTGGGTGTATTCATAATATCAAAACCGGCGTTCATATTCGGTTCCGACAACCAGGAAGAGCGTGCCTACCCGTCTCGTATTACCGGTATTATATTAGCACTGGTAGCAGCTGTATGTAGCGCCTACAGTCTAATATCAATGCGCCAACTACGGACTACTCCCGTACCACTGATGGTGATGTGGTATTCGCTAACTATAGTAATTACCGGATCAGTTGTACTGCCATTTGTGGACAGGTGGGTACTGCCCACCGACTGGATCACCTGGCTACTTTTGCTCGCAATAGGCGCCGCGGGATTTTTATACCAATTCTTTCAGGCCGTGTCCATACAGTACGAGAGCCCGGGGCCCATATCCGTTACCCGGAGCTCACAAATAGTGCTGTCGTTTATATGGGAAGCCGTAATATTTTCGGAACCACTCCACTTGGCCTCCATCATAGGTTCGGTGCTCATCGGCCTATCGGTGCTGATTGTGGCAGCCTATAAAATTTATAGCGAAAATCCCGATAAATATAGTAAATTATGCTGTTGTAGATCAGTTGGCAATAAAAATAAGCTCGATATTAACCACGAAAATAATGTTGGTGCAAAGTTTCCTGATAAAAATGGCCATGTTTATAGTATTAGTAAAGAAGTTGGTAATATCTGTGACGTTAATGATAAATTACCATCAAAGTTTACCAAAAATGAACTTGGTCAGCGTAAATGTAGTATGTGGGAAGGGAATACATTTGAAGGCAGTTATGTTAGACGCAAGCAAAGTGTGTGGGATATTCCACCTGGTCATGCTAGTGGTACACCATATGTAATTGAGTTTTAATTATACGTTTGCAAATATTGTAAATATGATATTGCTTTTAAATTTGTAAATTTAAATAGTAACATAGTCATTTAAAATGCATATATTATTAAGAATATCACGTGACCCACATCGCGCATTAGGGTATGTAAAAAACAGCTAATATTAAACTATTATATACTTTGTACAGAATCTAATTCTCTTATTATATTTATAACAAAAACTCGATGCGCAAGATTAATTTAATCCCCCTTTATAAAATTTTAAATAAATATATAAAGTATATTACTTTATTAAATTATAAAATCTTACTAAAATGTGTATTATAAAAATAAACCACGTATCAATAAAACATTATCGTTATGCATTTAGCTTACAATAAGCTGCCATAACGTATACAATAAATTATATAACCACTTTTTGATTCTTACTCAATTATTTAATATTAATATATTGTAATTTATTTTATTATGAATATAACCAATTTATAATAAATTACAGTAAAAATTATTTAATGATATTTAGATATACTGTGCTTATTAATATTATAATAAAATATACAATAAATTATCTAACAAGGTATATAATAAATCGATTAATGTAATATTTCAAACCTAAAACTTTTACGGGAAGTGAATGACCAATAAATGACATTTAGGCAATAATGTAAATAGTCAAATTTTTATTTAAAAAATATAAATTCATCATAATGTTAGCGGTAAATGTCAATATAAATGTGAATATATATAAATGTCAATATAATATTTTACTTATTTGTTTATGTGTTATTTCAAATTGAGAGAGAGATAGAGATTGTGTTGATAGTGTCACTCAACTGGCCATCACTCGTACCCAACTGTAGTTTACTATTATTGTTACAATCACTAGGATTGCCATCACTATCCTTGTGACCGTTACCTTTCCGGCACATCCGGAATACTGGCTTTAAAAACTTCTCGAACCTTTTGGGACATTCTTGATATATCTTATACACAGCTGTCATCACTACACACGACGAAATAAGTACAGCACCGGTAATGGACTGCCACTGGACAGGTTCGTGGAATATTGTCATTTCCCATATGAATGCCAGTACAATATTAAAACTTCTTGTGACCGAGATGGGCCCGGGACTTTCATATTTGAACGCGGTGGTCTGGAAATATTGATTCAACACACCGGCAGCCCCTATAGCCGCCAATAGACCCCATTGCCTGATACCGGATGGTAGTATCCAACGGTCCAGTATTGGTAACACTGACCCACCGATGACTACAACTGCCACGGAGTACCACATGACCACTACGGGCACCGGGGTCGACTTAAGTTTGCGCAAATTAATCAGGGAAAGTGCCGATGTTATCGCTGCGGTCAGCGACAATACTAAGCCAATCGAGCGCTTGTCATACTTGTCCGGACCATCCGAACCAAATATGAACTCGGGTTTAGATATGATAAACACCCCGATTACTGTTATCACCCCGGTGATTAGCTGGACCACGTTGGGTCGATCTCGCAGTATTAGGTATGCAAATACTGTGACAAATATTGGGGATGCTTGGTAGATTGTGGTTGAATCAGATAGTGGCATTAGCCGGTAAGATGTGTACAGGGTGATTAGTGATGTGGTACCAGTGATACACCTAATGAATAGGTCCCATCGGTGTCCCGGTTCCCCGAAAACGGGGTATTTTTTCCATACAGTTATGATAAAGAAGGGGATGAATTGAAATATGCATCTGGTTTTGCAAAAAAAGTATATATTATTATCTGTATAATTTGTATTTTCCAATAGTTAATAATTAGAGTAATTATTTATGCTAATGTATTTTTGAGATGATCCATGTTACAGTTTGCAATCTTAAGTTTGTTAAATAATGGATAAACTATTTCATCCCAATTTAAACATTTATTTTATATATTTACAAAATAATAAAAAACAATATAATTGTTTACAGTTTAAAAATAAAATAATAATATCTAATAGAAATAATAAAATTATAAAATAAAATTTTATGCAGCCTTTCGATTGAACAAAATATATGCAATTATATTTTTGTATTTATTGTAATAGTTCTACATTGTTTAGTATACATAAATAATTTTATAAACATCGTAATAATTTAGTACTATAATATTAGTAATAGAGTTAAGTTAGTAGAGAGCTTAAATTACAAAGATTATTATTACCTGAAAACGAGTATTTCTATTGAATGTAAATCTGTTAATAACTTTGCTATAAGCGATCCCAACGAAAACATTGTAACACCTAATCAATTAATCAACAAAAATCAATTAAAAATTTAGTCAACATTATATTAATCACATACCAATTAAGGCACATATAATACCAAACGCCGATATGCGCTCAGGTAGTGATTTATTCTTGATTTTTTGTTTACTTTCCATCTCGATCATTGTCGGCTCTGGTATGTCCAGTTTTATTGATAGATTTGCCACGGTCATTTTTATAAATTTAATATTACATTAATAAAAATATAACAGGTTTGTTAAAACTTTTTGTTAATTGTGATCTTAAAATAATTAAGTGTTTAATTATATACTTTTAATCTGTTTTAAAAATAAACTTTAAAATTATTATAATTTTATTTGACGAAATTTACCATAAAATTTAATGAACAGTAGAACACGAGGCAAAATAAGAGGTAAGCCATGAATATGTATACTATAATTTGTATAGTGCCATGTACGATGATATTTTTATTTTGTCTTAAATTGACATTTAGACCAAAAACAATGATAAAAATTTTTAGAGAGAGAGAGAAATCAGTTATAAACTTTACAATCAATATAAGCACTGCCAATAAAATTTTAACGCCTTATTAATTAAAATACAATTACAACAATTATTATTTAAATATTTAGTTAACATTATATTAATTACCTACTAATTAAGGCACATATAATAAAAAACGTAAAATTTGTATTCGGATAATAACTTGTTATATAGTTTTATAATTTCCATTCTCGTGTCTTACGGTCAATTAAATTTTATGGTAAATTTCCTAAAAATAAAATAACAACTTACAATTTTTAAAATAAACAATATTATTTTTAAAGATGTATTTTTACATAATTTATTCAGAATAAAACTGATATAAACATACCATTACTTATTAGGAAACAGGAAATGCGTACGTACTTTTACTTAAATGACAACATGCGAACAATTGCGAACATAGGGGGGGGGGTCTAGATTTCTTAAAAAGTGCGTACGTACTTTGTGAACAAAGCCTAGGATGAAGATCACACCATGTTAAGGTATAATCATAGACTTAAGCTGGGATCCCATGTTAAATCCCATAGGATGAGTATGGATGTGAATGTAGTGAATTTATATTCTAGAATTTTTATACTGAATTGTAATTAAAAACAATAGCATTACTTGCGAGTGTTTGCGACCAACTGTGCGAAGGGCTGTTCCCAGGCGTACATCTTTATGACACGCATTCCGGCGATAATCTCTTGCATTAAACGGATTCGACTGTCAGTTAATTTAGCCGTCTTTTGACGTATACTCCGAAACATACGACCCATTAGTACTTGAAATGGTATAAACAGTACAAGTATTCCCATTCCCGCTAAACACGCCCACCGAAGGTATGTCCACAACAAGTATAGCACAATCGACGCCTGCAGTGGCGCCACAAACAATGTTGGAAATCTCAATGCAAACTATTTTCTCAATATAATAACACCATAATCATAAACCATTTAGTTTAATTATCAATAATTGATAATTATTATCAATTCACGATTTAATACCTCATCAAATCTATTGACATCGTTAGACATAATGTTTAATATTTGGCCAACAGTTGTCTTTCCGAGTGATGAATGAGTTAAACGCATTGACTTTATATAAGGTTGAAAAATAATATTAAATAAAAATATCATAAATATGCACTCTTATGGGTCAGACCTTGCGGTAGATTAGAGCACAACACGCGGCCCGGATTCTGACTCCCACTTTGCTGCACGTAGCTAAGTTTAAATGTGCGGTAAACATGTAAGCAATCCCTGTCAAAACAATACCCACGGCCGCCCACGTGGCCCACAACTGGCTAGTGTTGGGGTCATCGTTGAAATATCTGACCAAATAAACTATACAATACGACTGAAGCAATGATAGTCCCAATTCCTTATTGATAAGAAAATATAAATGAACTCCATAATTTTTATTATTATATTAATAATATTATTAATAATTATTGTTGTTAATTATAATGCATTTATATTATACTCTGATTGCATCAGCGATAATGAGAATAATGAATTCTGGTCCGAACGATGCTAATAGTGCCCAAAATAGCGATGGTGTTCCTTTAATTTTCAATTGTTCACTCCATTTGCTATACAAATACAGACATTGAACAGAGTAGATATTACTTAATTATATCATTACAAAAAAAATTTAAAAAGTATTCTGTCTAAAAATTCATATTATATTTCATAATAGTCAACAACTGTGTTGGTTTTTGGTATGATATTGATTATATCTTTGACTTTCTATCAATCAAAGTTTTATCATTTTTTCATAGCAATAATGTTAAATTCAAACTAATATTTAAGAAAAATCCTCAAATATATCTCAAGGTATTTTGTTTTTTTTAAATCGGCGCTTAAAATATGTTTTGCTAATAAATAATTCTATATGTTCAATAGAAATATTTTAACGACGTCTGGTTAATTATCTACGGTTACATTTGCAGCTTCTGTCGGACGAGATGTGTCTCATCTGATTTTGGGCAGCGGTAGAGATCACTGAACTCGAGGTCCTTTTTGTGCGCCTGAATGAGTAGACTCCACACCCAACTAAATTATACCATATAATACATTACAATTTAACCACTTTATCACAGATTAAATTATAGCATACAGTATTATAATGTAATTTAAATTTTGATACAATTTAATTTTTAATAAATAACCTGAATGTAATTTTTGAAAATATGTTAACGCTATCCCAGGGGCTCGGAATGGTTACCAATCCATTGGGTTTTTCCATCCTATTATATTTAACTACAAATTAATTCAAAGCTTAGTTATATCATAACTCTATGCCTTTTTTATAAACATTAATAATTAAGCTGTTTTGACAAATAACCTAATGCTACTGTCGTTTAAAGTTGGTTTATGTCATAAAATCAAGCTACAATCAAATATAAAATCTCATGGCGTTGGGCAAAGTTGGGGATACGAATCAATTATATAAACTACAGTATTTATGCTGAATTGTGGTTTTAAATTAATTTCTTTGTAAAACCATATGTTGGTAGAGTTTTAGAATTAAAATTTCTTAATAAAGTAATATTTGAAAGGATACATATTTTAATCTTGGATTTTATGTAATATATAATTAAATATATAATAAATGCTAATAATATACCCAAAGATGTTGTTCACGCAATTATTCACACAAAACAATTACACTTTGTTGGGGAGTTAAACACATCATAACTTATTATTAATTAATAATAACTAATATCTTATACAGTTTAATATGATATACAGCGTTATGGTATATGAAGGTGAACGGTAAGTAGCGTTGCCAAATGATATTTTGAAAATCCTGTATAAATGTAAAAAATGTGCCCAAAATTTCTGTATTTTCCTGTATCACAGTTTTTTCTTACATATCTTTTAATGAAATTTATGTTTAATAAGGTTTTTTTCCAACGGAATCATTATTAATACCGGATTTTATTAATTAATACATTGTGTCAGTTAAAATCTTACATTAACCTAAGCCCAGTCATTAAAAACAAAAATTAAACGTTGTTTTAAACATTCAATGAAATAAAAACTAACATTAAAGTATTATAAACTTAATAATGAAATATAATTTTCAGCTATATGCCGGGACATTATATCAAGAGTTGATAAAAACTAATAAATTTACAACTCATTTGAGAGATATTTATTCTTGTATTTTTCAATATACAGGAATTACCCCTTCCTGTATTCTGTAAAAATTCCTTAATTCCTGTATAATACAGGAAATTCCTGTACGTTTGGCAACGCTAGCGGTAAGTATAATATTTCATATCAATTTATTTAATTGACTATAATAGCAATTAATATGCAGTAATTGGATGCATGTATTTATAGTGATAGAGCAACTACATAAAAAAATATGTACATTTGCACGCTCACATGCATTATATTTTTAAAGATATTATCAATTAACACAAATCAATTTATAATTTAGAAACATCGAAATATTTATTATAATGATTAAAATTTTGTAAAATCCAAACTTTTACCATATGCATAATAATTTTATTTTACATTTAAAAATCATAGATTAAATTAATACAGAGTAACCTCTTTATAAGGATAGGCCAGTTTCAGGGCAAAGTGTTTTTTATAGAAAGGTTTTGAAGAGGGGTTAGTATATTGACATTAAAAACATATTATTTAGTTTCATTTGCTATTCTGTTATTATAAGGTTTTACTGATAGATGCTGGAAGATAAATAACTCAATTTATGCAATAAACGCCGAAAAAGATTAACACACAATTAAGTTTCTTTGTAGGTTAATCTCCCGCAAATAGAGGTTGCACTGTATTATTAAGTGGCGATAAAGAACTTATTTGTATTTTTCTGATTCAAATAATAACTTGTATAAAATATTTTTAATCTAATAACTCGTTGGCAACCAATTGTTTAAAGTATTTTCGGTCAACTTTTGCAATATTAGTTCTCGGGATGCGATCGATGAACACCACACCCGCCCTCAGGCGCTTCTGGAATCCCATGGAGTCTATAAAACAACATAAATACAGTCAACACCTGTATATCACGAACAGCTTACATACCGGACACGTATTGGCACAGCTCCTGAGCGGTGGTGGTATAGCCGGGCCTCCGCATCACATAAGCCCGGGGCCACTGAGTCTCAGTGCGATGACTGACACCAATGACGGCCACTTCGGCCACCGCTGGGTGTGTCTGTAAAAAGAGCTCCAACTCTGTGGGCGAGACCTGAACTGTTGTCCATTTGATTAACTCTTTGATCCGGTCTGTAATAAACAGTCGATGTTTCTCATCGTAGTGCCCGATATCACCCGTTCGGAGCCAACCCTCACAGTCTATATCATCGCTGGACTCGATGTTGAGATAACCTGTAAAGAGTTTGGGTCCCCTCACGCATATCAGTCCCTCTGTATTGGCCGGAAGGCTGTGTCCTGTGTTTGTGTCCACGACTTTAATCTCGGTATTACGCGAGGGCTGACCCACAGATCCGGGCGTGAAATGCCAGCGCTCGGCACTTATCCAGTGTGTAATCGGACCGTATTCTGTCATTCCGTACCCTATTATCGATTTAAATACATTTATTAGAGTGAGTGAGTGAGAGAGGGAGAGAGACTAACCTTCATGTAAATTGACGCCGTACTGATTGACTAATAACTCGGCCACTGGGGCCGGGAGGGCAGCGCCCCCACACATAATCAACTGAACACTAGACAAGTCATACGTACGGAAATAACCCTCCGATACGAGTCGACTGCACAAGAATGGTGTCATAAACATAGTATTAATGCCGTACTTTTTCACCGAGTCCAATATAACCTCTTCCGATACCCGGCTGTACATCACAACTGTTGCGCCCATTAGTACATAACTGAATAAAAACATCTGGCCTGAAATGGACCCAAATGTTGTGACTGCGCTGAAAATTGTTGGATCCAAGTGGTGTGACCTGTCGTATATATTACAGTATATGGTGGCCACAAATGCCCGATGCGATAGCCGTACCGATTTGGGCACACCTGATGTGCCCGAGCTCTGCAGCATTATGCATATATCGGTCAGAGGGTCGACCGGGAAATGCGGGACTCGAGCCAACTTACGGTCACTACATTCAGCCAACAACTTACTGAACGATACGTACGTGTCGTCCCGGCCCTCTCCGTCCAACATAACGGTCAGTTTGGACTGAATTTTGACAGTTTTGTCGGCGAGTACTTTGTCAACAATGATCGACTTGTCCCGGTCAGTGAGGAGGGTAATCGGACCCAGTGTTGGCAATAGAGTCCGGAGCTCGTGTACATTAGCCACGGGTCCGATCGGGTATAAAGTGATCCCCAGGAAAATGGCGGCGAACACCAGTACTGAGTGCTCGGCACTGTTGTTGGCAAACGTGACAATCATGTCTTGTTTGGTGAGCCCTCTGTTCAGTAAGGCTGTGGCCACAGCTTGGGCTGAACCTATCAATTCACCGGCGGTCAGCCATTTGGACTTCAGGCAGGCATCAATCTAATTATTAATATAATTAATTTTTATAAATGTTAATTTATTATCAAGTTTAATGTGTGTGATTGTTATGTAATTTTGATTAACACATACAATACATCTGTGGTTTGGGTCCAAACTTTTCAAGTAATTTAAGGCAAACTCTCCGACAGACAGCACCGGTATGTCGATCGACGGGAGCGGCGATCGAATCACATATTTGTCGCTCATTTTATTTTAATTTAAAAAATAATAATATTTAAATAACAAAATATATGCTATAATTCACCAATTAATGAAACATATATTGAGCCATATGTTAAATTTTACCTCTATATTAATTATTTGCCATTACAGTGCAACCTCTTTTGGGGGAACTTATCTTGGGGGAACACCTCTTTTGTAGGAACGGATTTGAAATATATTTTGGAGTTTCTATACGTATAACAGAACCTCCCTTAGAGAAACACTCTCTATAAGAAACACTTTTGCCGTGCAACTGGCCGTTCCCTATGGAGAAGTTGCACTGTATTAATTTCACCACTCGATTGTATTTGTCGTCATTATATTGAGAGCCAAACAGAATATTCTGTCGAACACTCGCTATGAAAGCCCACGACTCCTGCGGCGCGTACGACACCCGACCCCTCACTAAACTCTAAATTGCAGTAAATTTAAATTAAACGTATTGCACATGATCACTAGATGGATTTGATTTATGCAAATCCAAGCTTTGTAGTGTGCATTCAAATCGTATATGAATTAAAAGATTATAAAATAAAGTGTTATTTAAATTAAATGTATGTTCCTTAAAACACCATATTTAGTCGTAAACTTCATATAACCATAATTATGTTCATAGTTTAGATATTTGGGTTTGACAAATGTTATTATTAGTTAACAAAATGTATTAATATTTGCTTGGGCAAAAGTGGAACGCGTTCCATTTTCATTAACCTTGTTCAGTTTCATACATGTGTGGGTCCTAATCGATATATAATTTATACAGTACACTGTATGAAAATTAAATAAAGAATATTTATTGAACGCCGCTAGGGGGACGCCCATTACTATATTAATAAGTTATAATTCAAAAATCAAAACATTTATTATAAAAATTTAAATTATATATTAATAACTAGATATAATTGTTATTAATTAAATTGTAAAACTATATAATTACATCAACATTCTATATAAATAATAAAAAATTAACACGGCCACCACAATAAACAACTTTTCAAGACAGCTTAAACTTTTATAAACATCAGTGTTTTTACGAGCACCGGGTTGTCTGGTGGCCAGCGGGGCCGCAATGCGCTCCTCAACGGACAATATAGCCTCTCTGGCGCCGGACCACGAGTGCGGACCTAATATAGAACAACAGGGTATTAATAAAGCGCATATTATATTAATATACAAATAACATATACCATCGAGCCGGTACTGGTAGGGCAGTGCCGGGCCAAACACCAGCGCCCGCCACAACTCCCTGTCGTAGATAAAGTACTTCAAAAGATTGGGTTTGACGCCCACCTGTTGGGCCAACTCGTCCATGAAGTTAAGCCAATCCACTTGAATGGTGTGCCGCTCCGACTCGTAGTAGCGTTTCATTGCGTGCCGTTTTGCCGCGATGTCGGCCAACATGTCCTGACGGCTGGGCAGCGATCGCTTGCCGGCCATGAGTTGGGCAAACCATCGGCACTGCATTTCGCCAATCGGTAGTATCGCACCGATGGGTTGTATTAGCGATATGAAGGCCAGTGTCTTGGGATGTGCCAAACCGGGCGAGAATACGTACTTAAACAGTTCAACCTTGTTGTTTGGTGTGGGGATCAGGTCTTGCGATATGAACGGGAACGTCAGCTTATAACCCGTGGCCAGTAGTACCACATCGCACGGGGTCTCTTCACTGTCACCTGATTTAATAATTAATGTATACAGTAATAATGTTTACTTTTTTAGGTTATATAAATTACATATTTCAAATAAGCATTCAATAGAAACAAGTGTTAATTAATTTAAAGTTTTTACAAATCAATGCCCTAGTTTTGATAAATAATAACAATATTACTACTTATCCCGTACCCTCATAAAATAAATACCGAGTATTTAACTTAAATTTATTTAAATATTTCCAATGAACTCTAGTCAACATCATTAGCCATTAGTTAAATATATTTTGACAATATTTCAATGTCACACAAAAAGTACTATTTTAAAAATTACAGTCTTTAACACTAGAATGAGATGTAATTTTTTATCTTTCACTCTTTCAAAAATAATTAACTTAATTTAGTTAGTTTAAATTTTTATAAAAATAAATCAAAATATCGTATGAATTAATTACAACTAAAGTTTAGCTGTAGTGTTTTTGCCAATATATGAATATTTCATGTAATATTTCATTATCACACATTTAGTGATATTTTAATAATTACAGTCTTTAATTCATAAATAAGATGTAATTTTTTTTACTTAATTTAGTTAGTTTAAAAATGTCATCAAGATATCATATCGTTTAATCATCACTAAAATACACTATTATAAAACTATTATAAAATCCAATGGATAAATATCATGTAATATTTTAATATTACGCAAATAGTTGTGTTTCAGTAATTACAGTTTATAATTCATATTCGCTGTCTCTTAAAAATAATTGCTTTCATTTAATTTAGTTGTAAATCATCAAACATTAAAAATAGATAATAACTTACCCTCAAAAATAACGCCATTGGGTGTAAACCGCGTGATATCGCCCTTCACTACAACAGTACCCGAGAGTATACGGTTCGGGAGGGCGTCGTTCACAAACACGTGTTGCGATAGTATCCGGTGTTTGGGCTTTAACTGGTATTTCTCGTGATCCACGCGTTTATTGGCCGCGCTTTCCATCACTGAACAAACTGTATTGTAGGGCAGGTATGAAAACAATAGGTTCGAGGTGCGTTTTATGAAATTAATATCCGACGGCCGCCCGTTAGCGCCCACCCGGTTGCTTATCCACGTGCCCCGACGGGTAGATAAATACACCTGGATAATTTACAACAAATAATGTTAATTGTAAGGGTTTTATGTGGGGAAGGGAATAGTAGTGTTGTTAAACACTATACAAACCTTGTCGGACACGGAGGACAGTTCAACAGCTGCGTCCCCACCCGAGTTGCCGACCCCTACCACCACTACCCGCTTGTCTACGTACGGATCGGGCCGTTTGAATGAGTGGGTGTGCACTATCTGTCCATTGAATAGGTGCTGGTCTTTGAATGTGGGCGACACGGGCTGCACGTGATGTCCGGTGCAGACCATCACACCGTCCACCACATAGTCAGTAACTTTTCCCTCGTTGTTGTTGTCCCGAGCGGTCAGTTTCCACCGCCCGGTGCTGTCGTAGTCGCCGTTGGGCTCCAACCCAATCACGTCGTGGCGAAACTTCACGTAACTTTCGTAACCAAACTTCTCGCCGTATAAATCAAAGTATTTTACCTGAAAATAGTAATTAATAACATTTAAAACTTTCCATTTATAACCAAAAATTATTAAAAAATTAGTAAATTTATAAATTTGTCTAGTAGTTACAAAATGATCATTAAAAATAGCAAGATAAAAAACAATAATATAATTACCATCTTTGTATTGTGCATATAATTGGGGAACTCTTTGGGCGGCGGGAAGTCAGAGAAGGCGGACATCTCTTTACTGGAGTTAATGATCGTAGACTTGGCGACAGACGCCACGCCATCGATGTCCTCGTCGTGGTATCGCCACAAACCACCCGTATATGAGCTCTTCTCCAACACCAGGGGCTCAAAGCCCTCCTCCAGACACGCCTTACAGGCCGTGGCGCCCGACGCACCCCCGCCTATGATACCGATCCGTATGGTTTTGTCGGCCATAATTATTTTTGGTTGAGCGCAATGTAGTTAGATCCAGATGTTTTATTTTTATAAATATTTATAAGTATAGTAAGCACTGGAAACCAACCACCAGTTGTTATCGCCACAAACTAAACAACCAATATCAATGATACTGTCAACACAAATATTTATTTACCACTTTGGAAAAATACTGTATACGTATGCACCACAACACCACGTTATATGTCTGTATAACTGTGTTTATGATGTGTTCAATACAAGCTATATTCAGCAATGAGGAGCACAGGGAGTAATAACTCGTGGGACAGGTATGTGCTGTGGCTGTGGGTTACCTATTATTACATACAGTACTACCCAATGACCCAAATCCTGATGAGTTAGTTATGTTTTAAACCTGTTATTTAAGTCACTATTTATATATTGTATACCCTTTTCCTGTGGGCAATATATTGAGCAAAAAGGCAATAAATATTTCACTATATATACTGTATTTGTATTATACAACTGTATTTAAACCTTCAAAACACCCATGTACATTTTATTTTGTTGAAATATTTGTCAGTGTATATTCCTACAAATTATATGACAGTAGTTGTAATATTTTAATAGTAAAACTAAACAATCCTTTGTTGTGAAATGATCTTTATTATTACGAATATTCTTGTTAAATTATATTTAATTATTATATTTAGTTTTATTAATATAATTAATATTAATAGTTTTAAACTTAAATTATTGTTTATTAATTTACATATACATAAGTGTATATAGATGTATTTATTAATCAACAACTACTTAGCAAATACATATTATTAGTTAAATTAATAATCAGGTGATCATGTTGCGATAGATTAAAAATATGTAAATGCAAGGAATTTTTTAATTTGTAATGCACGTAATATTAATTTAACACGTACACATACACGTACACAAATGCATACATGTATATTGGATATTATATCTTATTACTATTATTAAAAATTAAATATTTTTATTATTCCGTTTAATTATTATTATACAATTTATAACAAATATTATATATTAAAAATTTGGTGTTACCAAGATTTTTATATTCACATTAAAATAAAAATATATTGATTAGTATTATATTAAATATTGCGTAACATTACGTATCAAGCATATCCTGTAAAATAAATATTACATAATTATAAATGAAAAATAATTTACGAGTAGTTTCCTCAAAATAATTTACAATTAAATGTTTCATATAAATTATTAGAAATATCAAGACAAATTTATAAATGTATCATCTGTACTTTAACACTTAAAATTAAATTAAGGTCTATGAGATTTGCTCAAAAGTCACTTGCTCGAAATTTTATAAATGCCCTTTTTAACGTTATCATTAATATAAAATACAATAAATATGAATTATATTACAGAAATATATACTTTTATAATAATTATTTTATAATAAACATAACATTTAGTAAATAATAACACAATTTATTAATTATTTTGTGCTTTATGTACTTTGTTCAGAATAAAAAGGAATTTTGATCCAATGAATATAAATATAATGTTTTATATTAATTATATTTTTAAAAATGACATTTATAAAATTTTGAGCATGCGACTTTTGACAAAAATCCACGTTTCTATGTTTTTGGGTAATTGTGATGTTATAAAAATATTTTACCATGATGAATTCGTTGATTTAATGTTATATTTGTAATTTAATATTAATACATTATTAAAACTTGTAATTTAAACATTTATCATAATTACAATTATATTTTTTAATCATGAATTACAATAATTACAAATATAAGTATTGTTTGTAAAAATCAATAGGTTTTTCACAAAATAAATAGATGTAAGATTTTAATAGTTATTATTCTAATAGAATTTTTAAAGTTAAAATATAATTAAAGAATAGTTATAATAAATGTTGTTAAAAATCCCAATTAAATGTAAATACACATAACAGTGATGTTTAACTATGATTAAATGAATGCCAAATACATTTCTCATACACTTTTGCAATTTATTAAAAGTCCTATTTATAAAAATAAAATCAAACTCTCACACTACATAATTGTATACTTACATAATTTAATATATTTTATTGGCTATTAAATTATGTAATTTATAGCTAGAGTATAACATATCCTGTTGTATATATAATAATATTATGTTGGATACATAGTTATAAATAACGAATTATCAATATAATTTACAGGAAACATCTTCATGTAAAATTATTATAAATATCAATATATCAAGATAAAATTATAAACAGTAGATTAAAGTATTTAGTAAGCATTACATTAACCAGATATTTGTATCATTTGTGTTTTAACTTTCACAATTAAATTATTGTTGATTTTAATTAAAAAAACACTTATATTTATAGATTAAAATTTTAGGTTCACAAAACTCAGTAATATAGTATTGGGTAATAAAGGTATTTCCCCTTGATGAAATAGTGTTTTTTCCTTTTAACTTGACAAAATTCAGTAATATATTGCGCAAATTTTATAATATATTTTATAAATTCAGTAAATTTTCATTGATTTTAATAAAAACACTTATATTTATAAATTAAAATTTTAGGTTCACAAAACTCAGTAATATAGTAATGGGCAATAAAGGTATTTCCCTTGATGACCTAATGTTTTTTCCTTTTAACTTAATATAAAAACATTATTTTAAAAACTTTTAATTCAACATTTATTACAATTAAAATTTTATTTTTAACCATTAATTATAATCAGAGCATTGCATTAGTCTGGGGGTAATACTATTAACCGCTAAAAATAGTTTCTATAGTTAAATGCAATTCCCTGGTTATAATAAATACAAATACCAATAATTTTTATGTGTGTGAAAATCAACGAGTATTTCAAAACATAGTTTTAAATAGATGTTAAGATTTTAATAGTTATAATAGAATTTTTAAGGTTAAAATATAGTTAAAGAATAGTTTTAATAGTTTTGTTGTTAAATTACCCAATTAAATATAAATACACACATAAGTGGTGTTTAAATATAATTAAATTAATGTTAAATACATTTCTCACACACTTTTGCAACTCATTAAAAAATCCTATTTATAACAATAAAATAACAAATATTTCAAATGTATTAAATTCTTGTTAAATATGTGTTTAAAAGACAAAAAACACTAAATTCAAGGAAACTTAATATAATATACAATATATGTAAAAACTTAAAAATTTAATATCATTTTACATGTTATTCCTATTGATGTGAGAAAAACACATTTATATAACAAAACAAACAAAACAATACATTGAAAATAACACACAGTTTTTACACAATATCTATTGGATTGAGTTTAAGGTTAAGTAAAAATGTATTTTTATTGATGATAACAATATACTGTATATATTATTACATCAAATGTGATACTATTATTATCAGTATTACCTGTTATTAAATATTTACTTAATAAACAAGCAACATGATTCATTGAGTATCTACATGTTAAACGTGATGAAATTCACGTATACCCCAGGTATATTTGATATATTAATTATGATAGTATATTTAATCTAGCTCTAATGATATAATTAATTTTTACACTTTACGCACTAAATGCATAATTATTTCCAATTAAAAAACATGTTGACTAGATTTTTAAATAACTAGGGCTTAAAGGATTTTGTAAATTAGCTAGAACAGCAGGCCTAATTCACCATGATTACCCCCATTAAACTTAATGTACGTATGTACTTTTACTTATCATATAATGCTACCGAGATATTACTGACAAACAAATAAAACTAACTAACTATTTTATTAGTAAATCAAATGTCATGCTTGTTTGCTATAAGATTTAATATGATAATGAAATTTTAGCACCATCACCTATTTTCATGTTACATTTAATTAAACAGTAGTGACTAAAAACAAACAAATAAATTGAGTAACACTAATATTACTATTTACTTACCAATCTTCAAGTTAGATCTAGATATTATATTTGGTACTTACAGGTTAGCTCATGTTATTTAGCTAATAATATTGCTTTTATTAATTATCATATTAAATCTGTGACTGTTTGTGTAAATGAACTGGGTTATTCACTGTCCATAAATTATTTAAATATATTTATTATTTACACGTGTCGATATTTAAGCTAGTATATTACAACACGGATACAAGGGATTTACAAGCGGGGGGTAACCATAGGTTTATTCCAAGACATTTATGTATCATAATGTTCTACCCATGATATAATTATTGTAAATATATTACATTGTCATGTTGTAAGTTTGTACATGGTGATCCCGGCTAAAAATTTCCCATGACCCTGATAGCGGTCTCTATTAATAAAATGCCATGATACACAAGCTATACTTACATAATTTAATATGGTTTATTGCTTATTAAATTATGTAATTTATAGCTAGAGTATAAGGTGTTAATCCCAAACAGTGAGTAATTTATTAATTAAATATTATTTATTATTATTTGTGTGATAAGTGAATAATTTAATTAAATTGGCTGAACGCCCTTGGTACACCCAAACGCAATAGACTGTAAATTATGCTTTTATTAATATGTTATCGCATGTATATAACACATATAACTTATAACTAGGGCTTTTGTTTACTTATCTATTTATCTAAACGTTTTAGCACTGAATTAAAAGTATATTTATTAATATTTTTACAATTCATTGTCGCATATCATATGACATACTGTCGTAAAGAAGTGTATTATAATAATAATAGTAATAATGATAATCAATGTTAACTTATATGCACTTTTAACTTCACATCATTATTACCTGTTTAGCAAAAACATCATTCAGTCAACGTTAAACAGTTGTATAACCTAGTTTATAAAAAACATTTAACGTATCAAGCATTTTGTAGTTATAAAAGTATTAGTTTGTAAAAAATAAAATAAAAAATAAAACATTTATTTATTTAATTATTAAAACTAGCTAATTGGAAATAAAAAAGTTTGTGTTATATTAAACTCACAGTAACTACAAAATATAAAGCACCATGTGCGCTCAATTGGACAAATTTGACATCTGTGCCAAAATAGCGGACACGCAAAAGAGCGAGATCAACTTATTTCACGTGTTTGACGATCTGATTGGCCAAAATATACTATACGTCACACACGATGACCAGGTGTACGGCCTCGGGTCCAACCGATTTGGGTCGTTAGGCCTGGGACACAGTCGGCCCGTCGACACCCCTACGCTCATACCCGAACTAACGCAACAGGGTGTACAACATTTTGTGATCGGGGGCGATTTCGCACTGGCACTGACTCGGGAGCACCAGATGTACAGTTGGGGTCACAACTATTGGTCGGAGTTGGGCCGGGAGGGCGCGCCCGGCGAGCACAATGTGTACCTCAAACCCGAACTCATAGCCTATTTTGCGGACAAAACAATTCGGTCAGTAGTGTGCGGCGCCCACCACTCCCTGGCGCTTGACTCCGACGGCTATGTCTACGGCTGGGGTGACGACAGTTGCGGCCAAATCGGCCGCGGATTAGTGGCCGACCCCAGAGCGCCCGATACGCTCACAGCCCGGCCGACAAGGTTGGCGTTAAAGTACAAAATAAAGTACATTTACTGTTTTAGCAACTCGTCGTTCGCCGTGACGGCAGAGGGGGGCCGAGTGTACAGCTGGGGCGAGAACTACATGTCCTGTTTAGGCCATAAGGGCTCAGGTATGGAGCCCCGGGTGGTTACCGCTCGACTCATATCCCACATGAATAGCGTGGAGACCGTGTGCTCCAGCGGTTGTACCACATATTTCCTACGGGCCGATGGCCTAGTATCATTTTGCGGCGGCTACGAGAATGACCGTGGTGAACCCATGCGACAGACCAGCCCCAGACAGTTGGGTAGGAAAGTGCACTTTAGAGACCTCCAGGCCATCGCTGGCTACAAGAAGGACATCTCGTTTGTGATTGGCTTAAAAGACAATACGGTTTACAAGATTTTGGACACCAATACTGTGGTTAAGACCGGTTTTGAGTCGTTTTATCACTTCTACGCCAATGAATATCAGTTGACATTCAAGACTATGAGACTAAATGAATGTAATGTTAATTATAATATTAATAATAATAGTCTGCGGTTTAAGTGCAATAAACGGCCGACAATTGCCGGTGTGTTGAAGTCGGTGTCCGCCACACAAACTGATGTTAACAATAATAATTATAATTATATTTATAAAAATAAACATTAATTATTTGCATAAGTTTTCATTTTTATTGAATTAATAATTACATCTATATTTATTTCAATTTATAACTTATAAAAAAATATAAATTTTAAACAGAAAATGAAAAGTGATTTATTTATAACAATTGTTTTAATTAGTATAACATAAATAAAATATACATTAATCGGCTCATGAGCCGCAAATGTGCATTTATTACATTATAATTCATACTCATCTATACTATCAAAAACAATAATTCACATATTAAGTAATGCACACATATAAGATCGGGGTACTATTTTTCTAATAATATGAAATAGCACACGATAATTAAAAATAGCGTAACATTTATCATAAGTAATTTTTAATAAATAACCAAGTTCAAACAATAATCACTATTCTTACTATTCTGGGTCATGACAATTAGTGGGAAGATACAATTATTTCACATTAAATTTTCAAATTTTATAAAAAAATATAAACTGACGCTCAATATATTGGGGAACGAGAATGTGTCGACACTTTAGCGTCTGTGCCGACACACAGCAAATATAACTGACCCAATCATAAGACCAATTCCGGCCAAAATAACTCCATCTGCAAACGAATTCTTGACTTCTTTACACTGAATCGACCATGGTGAATTATATCGCCATTCTGTACAAAAATGTTCACAGTTTTTGCTCTGCATTGTGTGCGTGAGAGAGAGAGAGAGAGAGAGAGAGAGAGAGAGA